AAAGAAAAAAGTTTTAGGTCTAAAAAGAAAAAAAATCAAAATATAGGGTCTTTTATGAAAATAACCCTTAATAAAATATTACTTTGAAAAAATAAAATATTTACCTATTCTTTTTTATCGATTTTTTATTGAACAATTACAATAATAAGAAAGAAAAATGTTTTTTTTTTTTTTTTTTTTTTTTTTTTTTTTTTTTAAATGGTCAACAAAAGCATAATGGCTTACATCATTAAATGCAATACTTTCGGTTTTTCTCTTTCTTTATATAAATTTTTTTGGATCCAAAATTTAAACGTGAAATAAATTTTTAAAAATTCTTCCAGGTTTATATTTTGTCGGGCAATTCTTTCACTATATGCACCGATTTCCGGTAAAAAAGAATATGTTCCGGAATGTTCACCTCCCCTTCCAAATGCTTTCTTGCCTACAACGCCTCTATCTATTGGAACCATTTCACAAATAGCCGATATTTTTGGTGCAACAACTATGTTCAACATCTAGCACTATGCTAGATCATGAGGGTATTTATGTCTTTTCTACACACGAGACATCGAGAGTGAGGTTGAGTAAGAGAAAGAAAAAAAAATCCTTTTTGCAATCCTGTTTGTCAAACACAGTACAAATGCATAACAAATGGGCCCAGTGTTGGTTGGGCCACACTTTGTTGGGCCACACTTTGGGACTTATTTTTTTGAGTAATAGTTGTGAAAAGATAAGAAATACATAGTTGTCATTACTCATTACTTTTAAAGAGGTGGTGTGTAGTAACTGTAAAGGTGTAGATCTTATAGTACATTTTACACGACTCGATTACGCGTGTGGTTTGAGTGATATTATGTTATTATTGTTTCGGTTTGATTTAATGTAGGAAGAATGACGTTAATATTCATTAACTATTATTTATATGGACATATTTAGAGGGAAAAGTACACACGGTGTGGACTTGTATTACGACATCATATGACATGACAATATTTTATATAATACGAACATAACCGGATATGTTTTTTTACTAATACAAAAACAATCTAGTTAAAACATGGAAAACACAACAAATATAGCATAAAGTTACCATTAGTTTACTTAGTTTATGTTTAACCATACAAAACACGATAGACACATGTAATGTCGTGTCAATTTCATGTCAAACTTTAAACAAGACACAACCCAACATTGTGTTTTTTTAATCGTAGACACTAATACAAATTCGAATTTTGATTTCTTATCATGTATTCTTGTCGTGTCATGTAATAGATTGACATCACTAGTAGGACCTAGTGGTAACAATCTCAACCCAAACCCAACTCGACTCGGTAATTAGTAGGTTGGGTTGATATTTTCAACCTTTAACTAAACGGGTCAACCCGTCATTAAATGAGTTGAGTTAAGGTTGAAATTCCAAATATGTCTACAACTCGTCAACTTGTTTAAATTTTTATAAATTTATATTTATTTAGTATTATTATTTAATAAAAAAACTTCATAAATGGTCTTTGTGGTTTCTCAAAATCTGGGATATATTCCCTAACTTAAAAAAACCCCATAGAAAGTCTATGTGGCTTCAAAACTTTTGACATATAGTCCTCTTTGCTTCCTCCATCACTTTTGGGTTGTTAACTTCCATTTGATTAAAATAATAAGAGGTCATATACATCATTTACTTGTGACCTGTAATTAATTGAGGGAAGTGATTATGCCTAACGTATTTGATCACCTTCACGTCAACTCTCAAAACCCATCCCTCTCCCACGAAAACACAAATCTTCTTCTTTATCCATCCTTTCGATTATGGGAAGCAAATTTGGGTTTTAGGGTTTATTGATAAGGAGTTGACAATGGTCCTCACAATATGGACTTTGCATGATAAATATTCCAACTTGAAGGACTTGCAAACTAGATATTGCATGGCTCTTAAAAAAATTGAGCTTTTTTTTTTCTTAGTAGCAGGGGCGGAACACGGGCTCTAGAATTGGAGGGGCCGTAACCAGAAATTTAAAACAAAACCAAGTATACGAATTCAGTATGCTACGAAGTTATTGGTATCGGTTTTCGGTAATAGAAACATTGAACGTATGGGCATTCGCATCTAAAACAATCGTTGGTTTCTCTTTGGAAGTTACTTGATTTATTATATTTTGATATACACTACTTAACACAATTAACTAAATTTAACGAATAAAAAAAATAAATTAACAATTTATAATTGTATTTTGATAAATAACTAA